CTTGGAGTGGATCTGCATCTCCGACTTGGAGTAGAAGGTCAGCGAACACATCCGGCACCTGGGACCGGGGCGAGGGGAAGAGACAGTGTCACACGGGGGCAAGCCCCAATATGTATCAACTCTAACTGGATGGGGTCTTCCACACTGACTGAAGAAGGGACGTTCTCTCGCTATGTGGTTCTGGGGAGGTTTCACCAGGGACACTGTGCTCGGCTGCGAGTAACTCCAGTCCCAGGGGGACAAACTTAAGCTAGGAACTGGCAGAAGAGACCAAATGAGACCTTGCAGCCAGACAAGTAAAGGTCTTGGAAGAATCAGAGAGGTTAATTTATTAGGCTTACAAGGGAGACAGGGCAGCATTTTGGAGATTTTCCAACAGCAATCTGAAGGGGACAGGAATAATAATTCCCAGACAAAAACCCACTTTGTTCATCTATGATTTATTTCAGTCAAAAAAAGGTTGGAAAACCTGGAAATCCCAGGTTAAGGTTCATCTTCATAATAAAAGTTAAATCCACATACTGCAAAGTCTGCAAAAGCAGTTATGACCAAACCCACTTAACTCTGTTCCCATTTTTGGAGAAAACACTCGAGTATTTAGAATACAAAATGCTGAAAATAACAACAGTGCTGCTTTCCTAGTGGGTCTTACAAAGATAGTCTGAATATCCAATGTGGTATTTACTGGTCTAATGGGCTTTCATAATTTCTACCTTACTGATGTGATGCAAAATGTTTTGTCTAGGAGTTTGGACCCATCTGTTCCCATAATGATCAGAAACGTATTTGACACTCAGACTCTTTGAACAGGAAGAAGCAGTTGGCATCTATCTGCTATGGATGCTGCTGTTAAAAACTCTTCCTCCATCATGACACCCGGCTCTTAAGAGAAGTTTGCACTGTTATACAATTCAAGATGGTAAAAGCTTTTGTGGTTGATAATTTGACAGAGAGATAGAGGCTGCATCCAAGTTACTGGACTTTTTTTTTTTCCAAATGTGTGCCAACCAAGGGGCAGAGTTAAGGTTTCTCTGAACTTAGTTTTTCTGTTTGCAGACTTTTCAATTAAACAAGATAAAATTGAACCTGCACTTGGAACTTCCAGGGTCACATTTGAGAGAAAAAATGCCACCCAGAAGTCTGGCTAACATTAATTCAACCTTCACAGCAGGTTGAGTTATGTTTTTGTCTGGGAATTTCCTCAAGTTTTACAAGTGTTTAAAAAACTGCTCAGTGACAAAAGTCTCTGCAGGTATTACAAACTACAGAGCATTGATCCTGCTCTTCCCCGTATCGATCCCCTCCCAGGAGGATACTTCATTATAGCTATTGTTGTGACTATTTACATTAGAGCCAGAAGCTTTATGAAGTGTGCCATCTGATTAGCGTATGTAATGTAGGCAATATTTATCCAGCACCTACCTTAACTTTCACAGGCCCTTCCAAGCCACAGCTTGATTTTAAGCCATTTAACTGGAAGCCATGCCTCCCCTCCCACACACCTGCCATAACGTTTTTTCCTCTCCATCATTGTTCTTTTACATTCATTATCACCTCTAACAGTTGTTCCCATGCTTCCTACCTTCATCTTTCTCTTAATCCACTTTAATTGCAAACCCTAACAGAACATGCAAGCTAAATACATCCTTACATAAATCCTCCCTCACACACACACAACAATCCCTTCTGGAATCAACAAACAGAATTTGGCTGTTTATCCCTAGGTCTATTAGGGATACGAGGAGTAAAAAGGAACATCAGAATAATCTTTTTTAAAAAGTAGCTCTTGGTTTATAAACTATCTCCAAACACTTGTGCAGTTTGTTCCAGACTTTCCAAAATGTTTAAAGCTAGACTTGAATACAGCATATGCATTTTGCAGTTATCAAGTCATACTTACGGGATGAGGACTGTATCCTTGAACGCAGCAATGCTAGAAGGAACTCTGAGGTGAATACTGAACTGAAAAATACCTCTGAGTCGCCAAGTCCAGTTCCCTATGCAATTATGGCATAATCCCATGCATGACTTCTACCAAGCTCCTTCTCAGCAGATGCTTACTTCCATTACTCTCAGTTGAACTCTGTTCCACAATATCAGTCCTCTGATAAGGAACCATTCAACTGAGAACAAGCTCCCAGTGCGATGCTGTGCTAATATGGCTAACCAAAACAAAGGGGAATAGCAGGTATCATTTTTGTAAACAGGAACGGAGTGACTATTCTTGCAACAGCATGTCTAATTCTGAAGTCCACATAGTCAACAATTATTGAAAAACTCTGAGCAGTTCAGCAAACTTAAAGAATGATGGCATGTGGAAAATCGGCTTCCCAGTAAAGATTCACTGAGCCCAGTCTATCTAGATTTGGAGAAAAGCTTAAAAAATAGCTTGGTCAATACCCATATAAATCTACATAGGAAGAAAAGTATCAATTACTAGGGGCTTGTTTTATGAGCAAAGAAAGGTTTAATGAGAAACAATAACTGACAGTAGAAGTTAAAAAAATCCAAGAGGAAATAGCATCCTTCCAACCACGAGAATAATGCATCCTTGGAACAACGCTCGGAGGCTATAGTATGGTCTCAATCACTTGGCCCCTACAATCAATATTTTGAGAATCCAGTTATTTTTCTGAGAGAAATACCTTTCTAAAAGTTTTGCTCTAGTTTAAATACAATGCTGGCCACTAATCTCTTCTGTGCTGTACACATGACTATGTATTTTAAACAGTCTATTCTGTTTTGAAAAATTCATAAACTTTACTACGTCATCAAGTCTAAGTAGTCCCATGCATTAAATCTGTAGTGCCATAAAGCCATCTACTTCATTTTCTGTAACTTCTGTGCATGCTTTCCTTTACTTATTTGCTTTATCAGGTATCTGCCTTCAGGTCAGAAATTCCCTAGAATAAACTTTAATGAAGAGAAACAGACTGAGCATCCTTTTCCATTTTCAAAATAAAATTATAAAGAAGGTATTTCAAAACCTCTTTGGTACTTGCATAAAAATGGAAGATAAATCCAACTATTAGTAAAAACGTCCCCCCTCCCCCAAAAAAACCCAAACCTCTCTTGTCTGAATTTAGCAGCTATAGACATTCCAGTATTGTTTTTCAAACAACATTTAAAATAAAGTCTTGCAAGGACTCATTTTCCAATCACCTAATTAGCATCAGCCCTGAGAGGGCAAGAATGTTATGTAGCATTAGCAAATTCATGAGACTTACGAGTTAAAAAAAGCCCTGGAATATAGCAGAAAGCTGCATTTCAGAGAGTTTTGTATTGTGTGGTATTTTCATTTTCAAGGGAACAAATGATCCATTTAATTAAGGGCTTCACATTCTGCCTCAGACAACATCAAATATTAAAGGGGAAGATGCAATCAGCCCTCTAGTGGGCAAATACGGATTCAAAAAAATGTTAAATCTGTACGGATAATGAGAACATCACATCTGACACTAGCGGCGTTTCAGTATTCTACTTCAGTGAAATTCTCCTGGCTGGGGAGAGGAAAAGTTGCTAAGTCCATGCTAAGCATGAACAAAATGCTATATGAAATAATTGATTTTTTTCCCCTCTGTTTAATAGCCATTGTTAATCTTTTCTCCCCACTGTTCTTCTAAACTACCACTACTTCCACTGTATTCTTTCTGAGAGCAAGTAACAGAAATGACTGCAGCATTGCCACTGACAGTGTGACACAACATCCCTACAGCTGCTTGTTACGGCTCTGCAAATTTAGACAGCCTAGGAGAACATATTCTTAATAACACAGAGGTGTATCTCTTCATATAGTTAATTTAGTACCCACCCATATACCAGAGATCAAAAGTAACCCCTTTCAGTGTTTATAATCCTTTTTTTTTATGGGGAATCTGCAGGGAAATAAAGTGAGACATTCAGAGAATGTTCATGTTAGACAGAAACTCCCTTAAAATCATGAAATGCCAGTAAAAGGTGGATGTACTATTCTAATTCTGCTCCCACATGAAAATCATCATGATGAGTCATAAACAAAATGATGCTTATAGCAACCAGACTACAACTCTGTGGCACACAGTAGCATATTTTTTTCCACTTTTCATGGAATGTTCTGCCTCATTCATCAGATGCTGTTATGAGATAAAATACCATCTGAAATACCAGCTCATAGTAAAATTTGCCTAGCATGGATTAATAATATTTTTCAGTCAAGTGCTTAATTAATCAGTATCACAGTTGTGAAAACTATGTAAGCTTTTACATGGCTTTGAGAATTCAAATTCCTAGTATCTACTGAGATTAGTCTTAGAAGTTAATTAAGCCCTTACTCCTTCTGTTAGGCTACAAATACAAGTTAGACCACAAGTTAAAAAAAAAAAAAAAAAATCAAATCAGGAAGGTCTGAAGTTAAACTAGATGATAAGGGTAAGTTTATGTTGTCAGAGTCAGCAGTTCATTTAGCAAGGAAAGAAATGTACTGCCTTTGCAATGCAGAGTTAATGAAGTAACTAACGCAAGCATAGCATAATAATGGATGCACAGTTCATGATAAATGCTAATTTAACCCTTGCATTCCCCAATTTTTTTTAAAGCTGAAGTTAAACATTTTCTTGCTAATATTTTGTAAGAGGCAGGGGAAGGGAGACGGAACTAACATCCAAGAATCACAGCCAGAAAACTCGGATAAGACCTAAATAAAGCCAGCGAGTATGAAGATGCCAAATGAAAGCATATGAATTGTATCTCTGCTTCCACACTTCTACACCCAGCACCAACTCCTATTCAAAAGTTAACATTACGCTTCCATTTACCAATTTACACTACTGGCATGCATACTATCAAATCTATCAGCTATGCTCAGAGATCTTAGTCAACTTATTTCCACAGTCTGTCAGTCACTTGGTGGCTTGATAAGGCTACAGAAAAATCATACTCTCCTGGCAAGGCAGCAAGTGTTTTTAAGTGCTCTTGCCTTATGGCACTTTTCTGCATTTTGTCCATTTTTCCAGATGATCTTTTAAAAATACCAGACCCAGAATTTTGTGGTATTTCAGCACACTTCACAAGTTGCCTGTC